AGTCTCCTTGAAGGACTCCATGACCGACAGTTATAAATGGGGTAGAGAATTCTGATGTTATAAATGCAGTATTGAAGTCCGTATACAAGCTCTTTATTATTTCACTAACGTCTTTGGGAATGTGATGATAGTCGAGGACAGATTGAATTAGATTATGATGCACTTCACCAAAAGCATTCTTGAGATCGAGAAGGGTGATGACAACAGAGCGCTGCTTTATTCTCGCTTGGTTGATAATATTTCTCATTTGAGCAGTGTGTTCGAGAGTGCCAGACAGATTGGGAGTGAAACCTTTTTGAATCTGATGTTCAATAAAGTTATTAGCAGTTAGGAACGAGAACATAGCATTGCGGAGACAAGATGTAAACACTTTTAGTGGTATAGTTTCTAGAGTAATTGGGCGGAAATTGGAGGGGTCACGTGTATTGCCTTTTTTGTGGATAAGAATAGAACACGCTTTTTTCCATTCAGCTGGTACAGATTTCAAAGACCAGACGCTACGTATCACTTTGGTTAGATAAGTGCGCAAAAATAGACAACGTTTGAAGCAAATTATTGAAAGTTGATCTAAAGGACAAGGCGATCCAGAAGCCTTCATTCTGCGAATAATGTTTGTAACTTGGCGATATGTTGGGGGTTGAAGGTCAAAGTTTACGATAGGATCGGATAACTTCGGAATCCAGCTTGGAATGCAAAACAGTTTGTTTGGGTTAATTGAACATAGAGTTTTCTTGAAATAGTTTAGGCATTCTGACAGCAGAAAGCATGGAAGTAGGCAAGTGTTCTTATTCAGGACGTTCTTAACGTAACCCCAGAAATAATAATAATAATAATAATAATAATAATAATAATAATAATAATAATAATAATATAATGAATTTGTCACTTGATACATGATACAAACTAATTAAAGACAAATAAAGACAGATTAGACAAATTGTGACAGGGGAAAGGAACAGCATTCTCATCCCAATTGACACATAATCCCTAAAAAAACGTTAACTACTAGATAAAACATGAGCAGCCGATCTGTATCTGATTTGTATATCAGATACAGATCGGATGCGAATGTTTTATCGTACTTAAACAACGACCCATCTTATGAGTTCATTGGCGAAGTAATTTTAAAAATAAACATTGGCCAAGCCGAGAAAATCAAAGCTGAAATTTATGTAAATCAGGACAAATCTTTATCCGATTTACAAACATTGATTAAACATTACAGGTAAACTACGTGAAGCGTTCCTCGTTTGAGTTCCTAAGTTGATTGCAATTTTCGTCATTACCTTAGCAAATTTGCAAAACTCCCTTGCAAATCCCTTGAGGGAATTTGCAATGTTGCTAAAAGCAAAAAAAATTTCCTCAGTTCCTGTTAGAAGTTCTTAACTTCCTGTTACAAGTTCCTAACTTCCTGTTCTGTTCTGGGCGTTGCAATTGGCCAACAAAAATAATCGACCAATAACAACGCTCAGAACAGAACAGGAAGTTAGGAAATTAAAACAGGAAGTTAGGAAAATTTAAAATGAAGTTTGGAATATTGCAACAGCCGATAGGAACATTGCAAATTCCCTCAAGGGATTTGCAAAGAGTTTCTCAAATTTGCAAAGCTAATGAGGAAAATTTCAAATGAGTTACGAAGTCAAAAGAGGAACGCTTCAAGTAGTTTACCTGTAATTTCTTTTGTATTTTCCACGTAAATTATTAATGAATTTTTGACATATAAATACAGATAAATACCAGGTAATAACACATTAGTTATAGGGGAAAGGGGGGGTGTCACCCCCCCCCCATACCACCCCCTCAAGTTTCGCCCCTGGTATCCTCACACGGCACATCGCACCGTCGGCTCGGGGATAATTTGTTTTCATTTTAAAAGAACTTATTTTGCTGTTTTGCAGCAAATTTGTTGTTTTAAATTTCGTAAAAAAGTTTACAAATGTACAAAACGTTTTTGTTTTAGATTTTAACTGGAAATAAGCTTCAGTTTCATGAATTAATGGCTGTTCAACCGTGAAACAAGGTTGTATTAACGAAGTGGCTATTCATACTGGAGTATGACAGCCGATTATTACATTTCGTAAATTAATACTATAAAATAGTTTTTCGCAACTGATTCTAGCGAGCGTATTCGGCAATTGGCGTTGCGTGCGTGCGAAGTGAAAGGAGGTCGGGTCCGATTTAGTTTTAGCCGCCGGTTTTCTATTTGACTTTTTCTTGAAATATTTGGAAATTTTTTGCACTACTTTTTTAACTCTAAAATAGTTTATTAGACATTTATTGGTGAGGGTTAACGTTAGGGTTGGTTGGTGTCTGTTTGTCTTAAATATTCCGACTGTAGTACGAATAGCAAATCAAACTCGGCGTACTGTTCCAGTAGGCAGTTCGATTAGCCACTTCGTTGTATTAAATAATTGTTTTGATGTTGATTTTTTTATTAATTTAATCGTTCTTGTGCCGGTTTGGGTAGTGTGTAAACATTTCAGTTGTGAAATTACATTCCGGACTTGCTTTGTGTTGTCGATTTCATTCAAATCTACGAAATTCTCTGCGAAAGCATGGATTCTTTACTCGCTAATTCACAATAAATAATGTGTTTTAATGCAAGCTAACATGCACGATAGTTGGTATCACATGGTATTGCATCGAATGTTATCGTTATTAAGCTAGCGCACAGTTGTAGCTATTTTTAAGTTTGTTTATAATGGTCTTAATACTTTATGTGGAGTTTTTATACTTCATCTGTTAAGAATCGAAAGCTGTAATATAAAGAACTCATTTTAAAATAATCCATGAAGAAAATTAAAAAGAAGTGAATGTTTATAATCAATGTCTGTAAATTAGATAAAGATTTGTCCCGATTTACATCAACTTCAGCTTTGATTTTCTCGGCTTAGTGAATGTTTATTTTCAAATTACTTCGCCAATGATCACATCAGATGGGTCGTTCTTTAAGTACGTTATAACATTCGTATCCGATCTTTATCTGATAAACAAGTTCTCGCATTCGGCTCGAGTTGTATATCAGATAAAAATCAGCCGCTCATGTTTTAAGTATCGTACGTAAAGAAGGTTATTTCTTGGTTGACCAAGAGATTTTTACCAAAGTGATTTGAAGTGATTTTGTCAATGTTATACATTAACTTCTTATTAACCGAGCGCGAGGTCTTTCCAGATAAATATCGGACCGAGGTCTTTTTTGTACAGACCGAGTCCGTAGGGCAAAGTTTGTTCAAAAAGACCGAAGTCTGATATTTCTCTGTAAAGACCGAGCAAGCGAGGTTAATAACAAGTTTATTATATGGCATTTATAGGAACTTATTGCCACAGCGATAAGAGTTTTTATTGCTTCCCGGAATAATTTATACTTGAAATCAATTATGCGAAATAAGTAATTTGCGCGCGCAAGTTAATTTAGGTATAGTCACGTAATTGGAAATTTCGGTATTTATCAGTGGTGAAGCGGGCTATCTGTCCTTTCCTATTCCATATGGGCTGCAGTTCACATCAAGAAATTGGATGGAAGAGAATTACCCACCCTCCTCCCCGTTGTTGAACGCGATATTATGAACTTATATACATATACGTTATGTGTAGTGGGCGTTAGTAATGCCCCCACCTTTTCTGTGCTAAATGTCATATAGTTGTTAATTAATAATTTTTCTTGTTAATTATTAAAAAATGATTAAAACAATAAAGCGGCTATGTGCCAACAACCGGGCACATAAGCCATAATTATGCCATACAGGCTTTGACTGGTCTTGTAGTATTCGGCAGCACAGAAAACCGAGCTCAAACTGACAAACAGTTTGCCGATGGTGGTTATATGCAGGGAAGCGATAAAGGTATTTATACTCGAAACAAACAAGAAATGCATGATATAAAATGCGTATTAGTATAGCTAGCGTGGTCGGAGAAAACAAAAGTTACCAATGTATTCCTTCCTTTCCACTTAAACCCATTCGCAGATATTTTATTGATAACAAATTAAATTATAATTTTCAATTAGCTTTGCTGGGGTTTTCTAAATTACATGCGCTGGTTTTTACGTAATGGAAAATAATGGACCGCTGAAAGTGCTTCTCAGCCAATCACAGCCAGCCATTTCACCGGAAGTGATGCTTGCCATATAGGGCCTAATAATATACACTTAGTGCACGCTCCCGACCTGAGAGAAATGTTTGTTTTGTTTTGTTTTGTTTTCCCGAGAGTCGCATTGTTTCCCGAGACGAAGTCGAGGGAAACATTGAGATTCGAGGGGAAACAAGACTAACTGTTTCGCGAGGGAACAGACAGTAAGCGTTTTGTTATATAGGTACAAAGAAAAATCAACATTCAACAACATTCATACATCAATTGCATTTCGTGACAAAAACTCTATAGTGTACACGATTTACAAATTAAAAGAGCCTACTTATAAAACAGTTTCAGCACCATATCCTGTTGCCTGTCGTGTATTTTTCTTCTTCTTTTACATTCTTTATTTGAACACGAAGTTGGAAAATCAAAGTTTCTAATTATGCTAGTTGTACCGCCATTTTGTTTATTTATGTACGTATCCGGTCGAGGCGGGCAACAATTTCTCACTTGTTTCCCGGCGAGATACGTTGCATTTATCTGAAGTCACGTGACCACAAATCAGCCAATCACGTTTGGTATTTACCCTATAGCTATATAACAATATATATTGTTAGTGTTTTACACTTACGTTCAATATCAACATGGTTGTAGGAAATTTCAACAACCTTACTTGAAGGCACATTCAGGGTAAGTTTACAGTTTAGGTTGGCGCTATATTTTCCAGCGAATCCAGGCGAATGGACACGACCAATCGCACTGGGGATAATTGATCTGGTCGGACACACACTCACTGCTGGGGGTAAACCAGTTGCTAGAAAAAATAAAGATAGAAATATTCTCTATGCACAGGATGATATATCAAATTATTTTGTGATAGGTATTAGAGATATAGATGTATTTTTCCACACCAATAAATTGTAGGAAAGGTGATCAGAGCGCTATCCACAAGATAACGAATTTTCACGTATTCTAAAATTGTCCGTTTATTGTTGCAACCCAGATAAATCTCTAGTATTTGTAAGCTACGGTTTCTTTTTATTAATTTTGTTTCGATATTCGTAGTTTTCACAACGGTTGAAGAAGTCACTATAGATATTCGATCGTCGTACAAACAGCCCCAGACAACAGGCGCAGAATATTGTATACATGCTCATGTTACTAAAAACTAATAAGGAAAACTGCTAGATAATTTCAAGATATAATCAGCAAAGATTTTGATTCCGCCACCAAGAAGAGGTTATAGGCCCAAGAAAAATATTGCTTGACTCAAGCACAATTAAAAATCTATTTAAACATTCAATCTGAGCCTTATTTTACCACCAATGTTTTAATAATCACAAATTACTTTCGATTAATATATTATTACTTTTTTAAGGTAATGAGTAACATTTTGAAGAAAGCAGTTCACCTCACTACTGTGTACTTTTTATTTTTTTCCAAACTCGCCATATCTGCAAATTTCAGAAGAAAATGGCTTTGGAGTTGCACGTCTGTCGAGGGTCATAACTGGTCATGCAACTACACAGAAATTTTCCTTCTTAAATTAATTAACAAATTCAATGCAGTTCAATTAAAAGACTTGCTGTTTTAATGTCGGTTAGGTACATGTAGATACTGTTCGTTAATCCAATCTTTTTATCACCTAAGAAAAACGTGATTTGCAGCAGCTTTTGAAGGAATTAAGATTTAATATAATAATATTTAATATTTATATTGCGCAAATTAACATGTTATAGTATATGATCAAATGCGCATAAATGCATAGATTTGAATTTATCATAATTACTTTTCCGGAAAAGCAACTTTTACTCCTTAGTTTTTGGGTAATTTTTACAACCCTGGTCACCACAAATAAGTCAGAGTAAAGCAAAGTGACTTTAATATAGGAGCTGGGATTTGTCTGGCGCCCTCCATCCCGATTTAAGACAAGTCTTCCGACGCCTTATTTCCATCTGTAGCCCCTGAACACACCGAAAATATTGCTTACTCTGGACGGTGGTGAAGCTGAGATCAAAACCGCTTCGTTCTATACTACGATCTGTTACCATTTTCAGTGTGACGACATTCAGACCAGGTACAAATGGCGCCGGAGTGGTGGTCCCGCAGAATTTTTTTGATGAACCTCCAGATATAATGAGGTAATCATGACAGTTGAATTCTATAAAGTAAGTGAGTGGATATTGTATATATTAAATAAATAATAATATGTAAACTAGAGGGTACTCAGAGACTGCATAACTCCGTCAGGTTATGTACAGTGCATAGTTTACTAGGCCTGGAAAACAGTTGCTTATTTCTCATCCAATCTTCATTCAAATTTAATCAAAATTAATCAATTTGTCCTTGGGCAATATATGCCCAATGATTTTCTCAGCATTAACAATAGGCAATTCCAGCTTTAAATTTATGCGCGCAGGGGGTGACGGGAAGTAAGGTATCATGTATGTATGTATGTAAAACTTTATTTCAATACGCTAACATCGACAATTATTTACAACTGGTTTCCACGGAGGGCGTATACACACAAAGAGCTAAATGTTAATTATATATAGAACAAAATATGTAAAAATCCCACCCTAAAATTTTATCATCTTCCTTCCAAACCTCCACCCCCTAAACAAGTACCCACCCACCTTCACGCAAAACTAACCCCCCTCCCGCCCACAATCTATATTGTCCTCCCATCATTTGGTCCTGGAGAAATTAGCTTATCATCTGCTTAAATGCAATTTCTCCATTGTTTTAAATGACGTAATTGACTCAGCCGCGTTGACATCTTGCGGGATACTATTCCATAGAATTGCTCCACTGTATCCAAATGTTTTCTTTAGAAATTCCGTTCTCGGTTTTTTTAACGAGAGATCAGTTTCGCTATTGCGTAAATCATAAATATTCTGCGATGCATTTCTCCGAGAAAAAAGATCTTTAAGGTTTGGCGCAGTGTGGTTCCCCAAGACTTTATACATCAATACTAGCTTGTTTTGTTCTCGTCTCCTAGCCAGGGTTTCCCAGCCTAATTTGTTTAGGACTTCAGACGATCTTACATCGTAGTCAGCTCCGGTAATCACCCTTGCTGCTCGATTTTGGAATTTTTGCAATTTGTCTTGAAGTCCCAAACCACAGTTATCCCACAGGGGAGAACAGTAATCAAAATGAGGCTGAATTAATGTTTTGTAGACATCATGTAAGGTTTTGTGTGAAACATAAGGTTTTATTCTTTTAATTGCTCCTATTCCAGCGCTAATCTTATGGCATACAGAATCAATATGTTTCTCCCAACTTAATTTTTCATCTAGATTTACACCTAGACATTTAAATGTATTGGTTTGTGGGACTGGGATTTTGTTAATCTCAACGGCTCTATTTCCTATTTTATGTTTTAGATTATGCGTAGATCCAATAAACATGACTTTTGTTTTTTTCCTATGATATTTTAGTTTGTTTTTAGCAAGCCATTTACGAATACTGGAAAGGTCCATATTCAAATTGTCAATCAATGTATCGTAATCATGCGAAGAGGAAGATATCTGAGTGTCGTCGGCATAAAGACATGGGGTTGTCCTTTCTAAAATATCAGGCATATCATTAATATATAGCAAAAACAATAATGGACCAAGTATGGATCCTTGCGGAAGTCCGCATATTATTGTTCTTGCAGAAGAAGTTTGATCATTAACAGAACACACTTGCTTTCTATTCCTTAAGTATGATTGGAACCATTTTAATTCAATGTCGTGAATTCCAAACTGGGTTTTAAGCTTCTCCAATAATATTTCGTGATTCACCGAGTCAAATGCTTTACATATATCAAGAAAAACAACTCCATTTATTTTGCCTTCATCCATGTCTTGTAGCCATTGATCACACATTTGTATAAGAGCACCTAAGGTTCCATGTTTTGGTCTAAACCCGGATTGAAATTTAGACAGAAGCGCATGTTTATTCAAAAAGCTATATATTTTGCTCTAGCGAAAAAACAATACACACGTGACGATGAACCGACCATTTCTTGGATAAACCAAGACAAAAACATATAGATAATGAGGTCTATTATGTCTGCATCGAGTTCCCTAAACTTCTTATTCTATCGACTATGCTGAAACGTAATATTAGAGAGGTTCAGATTTGACTTCCGCTATCGCTACCATTAAAGGATAATTAACCAATTAGATGCATACTAAGCCAGTGAGAGGTCAGTAGTGCATGGTAACAGTGGTGGAAGTCAATCTGAACGTTTATTATACACGCATATATAGCCTCGACTTCATTCTTTTGAAAACAGATAGAAACGTCAAGAATTACGTAAGACTGAATAAAATTCAAAAGAAATTAAAAAATGAAGTTGTGCTCCAGTGATTTTGCAAGTGGTCTGTGATATGTCAGCTTTCGAACAAGGAAATATGTTCGTTTTGTATGGTCAATCAAGTAACCAAGGTGAACATTTTCAAAGTGAAAGTTTTCGTGTGTAGTAGTATAGCGGGCTTAATCTTTCATTAAACTCAACAAGCCCTGCTGCATGCCCACCATCCCTGGCCATGACATGCCTGCAGGACATGTGAAAAATATCAAAACGAAGGTAGTGAAGACGTGAGGTATGAAAGCCAGAACCTAATTGTTTTCCACTCCAACCGTATCGCACCGAAACGTTGCATGCTTTGTTTCCTGAGCACTCGGGCAGAAATAATGGTATATTGACAGACGAAAATGCCATGCGATCCTTTACGTTACGGTTCAAGTTGGAAATATAGGGACGGCAAAACGTCTGTTTCCATGCATGTCATGATTCATGAACAACTGAGCCATGCATACTTCAACAAACTATCAACTATAGTATATGTAATATTATCTACACATTAAATCCATATAACTTACAGTACAGTCTCCTTTGCACTGTCTAGCAAGCCAATGTCTTCAGGTTTAATAACAGTATCAAAAATAACGCTACTTTGGTTCGTGTCATCATGAACCAAAGTTTCCTTCCTTCGAGTTTCTTTGTTTAAGAAAACCTTGACGTATGTTGTTCCGGCATTTACATGCTGAGAATCATTTGTATTTCCGTTCCAATCTTTTAACTCTTTCAGTTTCACGCCATTTTGATGGAGAATTATTTTCACTTCATTGTTTTCTTTGTGAGAGTCAGAGTGTTTTGAATGCTGAGAGTCACTCGTACTCTCCCCAGAAATTAAGGGACTCCGCGAATCTGATGAAAGACGACGGTTTAGCGATGCTTTGTTTGTTCCTGAGATGCCATTGTTCTCCGGGTCCGATGTCGCTAATGATTTCATTTTTTCACGGAACGATGTTTCCACCGTATCTTTCTGAACAGGTTTTAATTTAAATGCAATTTTGTTATAAGGTTTTTCCTGGCTTGAATTCTCTCGCTCTTTTTCCCTACATAAGCAACAGTTACACTTGAGAAAGAATAATCTGTAAGCTTTACGAAAGTCAGCTTGAAGTGTTCCATACACTATAGAGTTTAAAGCGCTGTTCGCCATAGTAAATACGTTAGATATACGAAATACATATAGATAGTATTTCCATTCCCTTAAATTACCGTACATTGACCAAAAGTACACAACATGTTGAGGAAGCATACAAAATGAGTAGATTAAAATTAATGCAACCAACATTTTTGTAATCTTTTGACTTTGTCGTTGTCTTGCTACTTCCGCGGCATAGTTGATACTACCTGCACGACCTCTGGAGTTATTGGCAAGAAATCGTGAACGTTTCTGTAGTTTCCATCCAGCTACACTATATAGTACACTCATGACTATCAGTGGTATAACATATTGCAGTAGAAACATGGCTATCCAGTAAAATCTTGAGGAATCCGGATTTGGCCAAAGTTCATCACAAAAAGTATTGTCCCCTTTATGAATCGTTCCAGCAATTATCATCAGTGGTAATGCAGTTGTTATCGACACGATCCATATTATTATAATGATCCTTCGCACAGTTGTCAATCTCAAGCGAGGTTGAAATGGAAACACAATACCTCGAAATCTTTCACAACTTATAGCGAGCAATGTTGCACTAGAGGCAGACACACATACAGGAACGGTACTATATGTTATACGGCATCCAACATTCCCAAATGGCCAGTTCTGGTTGTTTTCATAAGCAGCATATTGCGACGGGACATATATCACTATGATTATCAGATCAGAAATAGCAAGATTCAAAGTGAAACAGTTCATAACAGTTCTCATACGTCGTTGTTGTATCATTACAATACATACAAGAAGATTACCACATAGCCCAACACAGAACACAATGACGAAACACAACCGAAGGACCATCGTCAATGCGAACGGTTCTCCATTTTCCACCATATTTGTTGAATTCATGCCCATTTACTCTTCTTAATATATATCAATACACTAAAACACCGTACAATTCATGCATGGTATCTTCAAAATATGCGAACTCTCTTCCAATGAAGTTCCCTACAGTGCAGCCTCACGTATCTTATAAATTAATTTGATCTCTGTTGTCTGTGCTCATATATATAGATGTCGTTATTATCAGTGTTTGCTATCAACTTGAGTTATCTATGTTTCTTTGTGTTCGTTGATGCCGAATAATCGCTAGGAACAATACGGATATCTTTCTTTTAACACCTTGGATGTGGAACTTTTATTCCTTCTGCTATTCAATCAAATGCAAATTTTAACCCTTCATATTGCTAGTTTTGCCAAGGGTACGAGCTGTTCTTTTTGACAGATTAACATTTAAAATAACATAACAGATAGTTTCAGTATATTGCCAATGGCTTCTCGGTGCATGTCTACGGAATCGGAAGAAAATGCAAGGTCAGTAAACAAGGAATGCATGTAATGCATGCAAGAGCATTAGAAAATTTCAGAACAAAGTTGTTCTCGCCCTTATTATTATTATTAACATTACTCCGCATTAGCCAATTTTGAAATGTTTGTCATTTGATTTTCTTACCTACACTAAAATACACAAAATACTGATTGCAATCAATGCCTTGTCGTTTTTCATTAACAGTCTGACTGTCGATTTTAGAGCGTCTCTCTTTCTCCACACTTAGCATTCCACATGTGTAGATCTTTATAATAATTGTAAATGGGATTTGTTGAAGTAATATACAGTGAATATTTATACTAAGAATATACGACATTGACAGCACAATGCGGCCCTGCTGTGAATTTATATTCACGAACGGTAAAAGAATACTGTGAAGCTGAATAAACTATATGCACGGCTTAGGAGTTTATGGACAAAACTGCTTAGGTATGTCGTTCGGCATAATGAGTCCTGTAGTGCTGTGTTTGAATTTGCATGCCAAGCAAATGTGAAACTGAATTACAAAGGGCGAAACGGTGTCAACGCGTAGCTGTGAGCCTGTGATATTGATGGGCTATACCAAGTATACAGTAAACATACAAGAATTAAAATTTTATTGCAAGCATTCTGTCTATAGTGAAATCATGTTCAATAATAATGTAACTATAAAAAGTGATTAAAATGTGATACCTTTAATTGTGACCTTCTTTTGATATAAAATTATCTCGTACAAAGCTTGAGCACTCCACCTGCTGTGACTCCCACCAGGCCAAGACGTCAAGCATTGGATTAATTTCTATAACTGTTTTCTATCCATCTTCATCCCAACCGCAAACGGCGTAATTCCAAAATACTGTATAATTTAAAGTAAGTACTTGAAGCCATGAAGGGTGCTGAGTTTCTTTATATTACGAAACAATTTTTGCTGTGAAATGAATATCTTACAGTTGCTTACTGTTATATAGTTAAAATCAGATATTAAATTTACTTATTGCTAATTTCCTGTTTAAATAATCCATGCGCGGAAACTAACAATGTTTTATTTGTTAATTCCAATTTATGAAAACATTGTGTCATTATTTGGTATCAGTATACAATACAATATATTAATATAGGAACAGGACCAATACATGCTCTAATGTTATATTTCTCTACAAACTAATAACTATTGCTGCAATATAAGTAACTAGATATATATACATGATTATTTTTATTATTTTATTTATGAATTTAAGTCTGTCAGTTTTTCTTGAAGGTGAAGGGCATGCAAAATTTTCATTTCAATTACATGAGCAATTCGTTTCAAAATTTCCATCTAAAATTTTTCACTAGTACTAATAAAAATGTACCGAAGCCAGGACAAATATCTGTTCTGAAATACAATAAGTCTGTTTACAGCCGCGCATGACCTGTACCCCTTAGCTGTCGAAAGCATTTGATAACAATCATGATTTTTAATTATCCTGTTTTTACAGGTGCTCGTTATTCCAAATATTGTCTTTGGGAAATTTTGATTTATGTGGGCAGCTTGATATCAAATGAAAATTTTCTTGCGGGTGTAACTGGGTTTTTCGTGTTCTCTTATCGTGATTAATTCTAGCTCGCATTCATGAAAACAATTTTTAGTCAGTTGATATAGTTAAACTACTTTTGTAGTATCAAGCCATGTATGTTGTAGTGAATTAAATTAACTGCCTGCCTATAACTTATACATGGCAAGCTCCTAGGCAATTATCTTAATCGCTATTATGTTTAAAGAACAAGTTTGCTTTCTCATCGTTCTGTATATATAATTTCATCTGGCAAGTATTATATCGTTTGACAGTTTGTTTAGATGGCAGCTTTGACGCATATTGTGTGGAAATTTCCTTGATGTGACAACGTGAAAATTAAATGAATACTTTTGTTCTCTCCACAAACAAGATTCAAGTGCAAGACTAGAGCATTCAATGATAACGATCCGAGAGGGGATCCTCTTTCCTTTTCAACAGATTTTGGAATTGTGGGTTTCTGACTAGTATGATGAAATGCAGATATTTAATATTAAATCTCAGTTTCTCTGTACCATTTCTAATCAAAGAAAGTAAAACTGTTATAATATATATATTCTAATTGTGTAATTAACGAAAGAAAAGTACTTGTCAGCCATATCTTGGTGATCAACTGAAATAAAAGTCAAAGTCAGATAGGGCGTCAGTCGCAACTTTCTACTTGGGAGTTTCCACAAATAGTTGCTCTTTAGTAGTGAGTACCTCGACAGATGCGTGCTTATCCACAGGCCCGTAACTAGGATTTTAAATCAGTGCTGAGTCGAGCGCTGAAGGCGCGAGAAACATATAGAGGGGTCTGGGGCTTAAGAACACTATTTCCTACAGATCTGAGAGCATTTTTAACAAAATACCATTCTCATGACTAGAATTTTATAGTCTATCTCACATTGTACTCTAGTCCTAAGAAATACAATTAAATGTCCTTGGACGAAATGATCAGGTGCATTATTAAAAAGTATTTGTGGTAATATTTAATTGCATGGGACGCTAACCCCTGTCTGTTATTGAGGTGCTTGTGCAACCACAGTTGCAATTTTTGCTGCGATTTCTAGCGCGATTTTCTCCTTCTGATGGATGTGAACGAGCAGATGAGTTACGAATGTTTGGAATACATTACCCTCATCTGAACATCCATCAGAAGAGTAAAATTGCACCTAAAATCGCAGCAAAAATTGCAAGTGTAAACGGGCCTTTACGCCACTGTAGGGCAAGAATTAAGGCATGCTCCCTTCGCTTGGAGAAAAGTATAGAGAGATTTCTTTTTTTTTATTAACTTAACAATCGCACGATTGATGGAAAGGACAACAGAACTATTTGTTCCTTATTAAGTCCCACCAAAAAATTTACAAAAATTACACTAAACGAATGGTCGGACAAGGCTCAGCCAAAATCCTATACGCTCACTCTCAAAACTCCATACTGCAAGTCAAGTACTTTCCAAGCATCCTACTTCAACCGCATTGTTAAGATATGGAACTACGTCTGTAAAATTCTCCCTCCAACCAGCTTCGCCAGCCTTTCCTCTTTTAAAAGAAACATTAAGGATACGTACAAACACTGTTTAGACGCAAAATTTGACATAGACATGTCATGCACGTGGACATTGGTGCCTGATTGCTGTTGCCACAATTTCTAATTTAAATACTGCACTGTTTATTTCTTGTCAGTCTTTGAACATTGACATTGTAATGCAGAGTCTGTTATATGTTGTATTGTGACGGTGAGCACCTTGCATGGGACTTTGTGTCTCGTTCGTGCTTTAATTTGGCCGTTTGGGTCTTCTACAAATTGCATGTGTTTATGTTGTTATGTAGTTGAGGTTTTGCTTGTCAGTTGTTGTATTTGTTCTTGTGAGTGTTTGTCATATCGTGTTTAGACTTTTAATAGTAGATTTTGTCGAATACTCAATAAAATCATTTAAATTAAAATCATTTAAATTAAACATATAACAATACATAAAATTACAATCACAATTAATATATCATGAACTATACATTCCTACATATTTACGAACAACAGTCTAATTGTTTGCAACGAACGACACTTGCTACACAGCGTTTTCCATGTTCTAGGTCTATTTATATCGAAGCCAGTGTTCAGTTTATTGGTATAATATATATATATATATATATATATATATATATATATATATATATATATATATATATATATATATATATATATATATATATATAGTTTAGTCTTAAGGAAATTAACTTGAATACGAGTCTCTAAAGTCGTAAAGAGAGACTGAAGTTTTACACATTTACAAATTTGGACGAAGAAAATCGCCAGAAGTACTAGTGGTTACAGAACATAGACCAGCACTGCAGTTGATATTTTTATTTCACATATCGTATATAAAATATTAACTTTAACATCTCAAAAAATTAAAGACCTTCATCATGCAACTTCAGTATAGACTAGTCGACATTTCAAGCAGCTAATTCAGATTTGAATAAATTTTATTCATGCAGTATCTGTTTCTTTCTTTGAAACTTGAACTGCTTCTTCTTTTACATTTTTCACTAAAATTCTTGTTACTGACTCGGTTGACTGATTCAGCGAAGAATGATTTGATTTTTGCGGCTAATTTTTAAGCGGTTGTCTCGGCATGGTGGAAAAGACGGAGTGCGGAGTACGGAGTCTGGCAAAAATGTTTATTTTGCCTAAAGATTCGATTTTAACGAGACTCCGCGTTTTCCACGTTCCGTTTTATAATCGAATCTTTAGGCAAAATTAACAATTTTTTGACAGACTTTGCGCTTTCCACTTTATGCCCCCATAAAGTGGAAAACGCAGAGTATGGTTAAAATCGAACTTTAGGCAAAATAAACATTTTTTACTCCAACTCCGCACTCCGTCTTTTCCACCGTGCGAGCTGTCTCGGCCATTTTGTACTGGCAATACTTTCTCGGTTGCTTATATTTCCTGAGGTGGTAATCTTAAAGCAATCCAGGTTCTCAGAGTTG